GGGGCTGCAAGCCAGCAGGGCTGCCAGACAGTTTCACTAAAAATATCAAACATGGTGGGAAAAAAATTGGTTGAACAAAAAAGAAAAGAAAAGAAAAGAAAACAGAGACCAAAGTTGTTGAGAAAAAAAAAGGGGGGGGGGACCCCAAAGTTATTGAGCAAAAAAAAAAAAGAGTCACTGTGCCTTTAAATCCCCCACCAGACGCGGCAGGGGAAGAACGTCCCAAGAGGCCTTCCGTCCGAGGCAAATGGAAAGTACCAGACATTTTTACACGTCCGGTATTTTCTGGTTTTTTTACCAGACAGAAGATGCAATTACCCGACTATCTGGGCCAATACTGGACACCTGGCGACCCTACAAGTCCGAACGGAAGGGTGTTGGCAGGGCTGCAGATCCGGGCTGGGGGGCGCTGACCAACAGGCGTGTGGGGGAAGCTGGAGGTCAGAACTGAGGGATGCTGGGAGCTCACTGAAGTGGGTGTGCCACATGTACACAGTGTTTAACCAGCCCTCGCTGCCGGCGCTGAGATCCGCCCTGGCGTCCAGTCAGCCGCCCTGCTCCGTTGCCTCGGGGCTCAGCAATTCAAAAGAGTCCTGGGCCCTTTAAATCGCCGCTGGAGCACCGCACGGCGGGCTCCGGGCAGCACTGTGGGCTGGCCGAGGTGGGCGTGGCCTGCTCCGGGTGATGCTGAAGGCTGGCTGCCCCTGCCCCGCCCCTTCCACCAAGACTCTGCCCCTTCTGGGAGCACGGAGCCACTTTCCACACCTTCCCCGAGCCCCCTGGCAGTTCTCTTGTGCCCCCAGCTGGGACCTCTGGCGGCAGCAGGGAGCCCTGGCAGCAGCCCCACCGAGAGCCCCAGGGGCAGGCCGGCTGGAGATCTAGGCACCATCTCCCTTGTTAGGGTCACTGTTCCAGCTGCGCATTAGCTGCCTTATCTCAACGTGACTGCAGCGCAGGCCAAGCCCTGGACTGAACGCAGGCACGGAGCCAAATACATGTCCCGAGCCAGCGCCGTGTGCGGGCCTGCAGCTGAGATCTCTTCGGCTGAATTCGGCGTGGGAGTTTGGGCGGGTTCTCACGCCACCCAAATGCACTGGCGTGGCCCTAGCCGATAGGTCTTCAGAGCCGGGCGTCCCAGATCCTTAGCAGGCGCGAGTCGCGCCCACCTCAGCAGAGCTGCGTCCGTTTTCACCCCCCGAGGCTCCGGCCCTTCCGGTTACAATAACGGCAGTACGGCTCACCACGCAGGAGCAGTCTGAGGCCTGGCGCCCGGCCGGGCAGGGTCAGCCCAAGGAGTCAGAAACCTCCAGTGCCTGGCAGGCCCAGCGCTATGAAACCCCAGGCCTCTGATTGATTTCAGTGCCCACTCGCCTCCCCATCAGGTCTCGGGTCCTGGCCAGCTTCCCGTGATGCATGCAAAGGGGCAGCACGCCGATTTGCTGGACGTGCACTTGGCTGCGTGGACGGGCACCGGGTGATGTCCAGGCAGGCGCAAGGAGATGCGCTGTCCTCCCGCGCTCCAGCTCTCAACCCCTTGTTTCCCTACCCCGGAGCCTGTTGGATTCTTCCACCTCCACGAACCACGGCGGTGCCTTTCTAGAGCCTGACGCCACGGGCCAGGGTCACTCCGCAGCCTCGTGCATGGATGTGCGCGGTGCTACACTTTTCCCACCTGCTGAGCAACACTACAACAAGTTTTCTCACCCTTTGCTGATCCCCGCGGCTCTTCTCTGAAGCTTCTGCAATTTACCAACATCCCTCTTAAACCGCGGGCCCCCAACTGGCCCCCGGCTTCCGGCAGGGCTCACACCCGTGCCAAATACAGAACGAGGACAACCTCTCTGCTCCTCCTGGCGGTCCCCCTGGAGAGCATCCCCGGATTGTGTGCAGCCGATAACCCGCCGCGATCCCCCCACGCTCTGCAGTCTCCTCTTCCCATCGCGAAAGCGTGGCCTGCGTTCTTTGCGCCCAGATGGCTCCTGGCACCCAATACAACCATAGACCACTGCTGCTGTCGGCTCTATGGGGTCGCACCTGCGTGAGAATGTACCCACCGATACACAGCGCCACAAATACACAGCACTGCGGGTATCCACCAGCACACAGCACCACAAATACAGACCGATACACAGCACTGCGGGTACCCATCAGCACACAGCATCACAAATACAGACCGATACACAGCTCTGCGGGTACCCATCAGCACACTGCACCACAAATTCAGACCGATACACAGCACTGCGGGTACCCACCAGCACACTGCACCACAAATTCAGACCGATACACAGCACTGCGGGTTCCCACCAGCACACAGCACTGCAAATACAGACCAATACACAGCACTGCGGGTACCCATCAGCACAATGCACCACAAATTCAGACCGATACACAGCACTGCGGGTTCCCACCAGCACACAGCACTGCAAATACAGACCAATACACAGCACTGCGGGTACCCATCAGCACACAGCACTGC